CCGCGTTGACGTTGTGGGATGAAGAGGAGAACCCCTCAATTACGACGGATATCTTGCGGCCAGACAGAAAGTCAGCAAACCATCTGCAAAGCTTTTCTGGCCATAGTATGAAAGTTTGCATAAGAGGGCAGCGTGCCATAGCTGATCGAACGCTTTCGTGATATCAAGAGCAACGACATGAACCTCACCATAAGACTGGATGAGTTTACTCCACAATTGCGTGACGTAAGCTAAGAGGTCCCTTGTGGATCGCTGGTGCCGGAAACCATACTGCATGTCGCTAATCAAGCCGTGACGTTCGAGGTAGTCCCTTAGGTGTATAAGCGAAAGCAGAGCAATAGGCCTGAAGTTGTAAGGGTCGGTCTTAGATCCTTTTTTTTTGATGGGTTGGATATGAGCAAATTTACAGTTTTCTGGGAAGGAGCCGGATTCATAAGATATCTGGAAGTGACGCGAAAGAACTGAAGAAGCTCCGCTGCACACCTCTTCAGTACAATGGCAGGAATCAGGTACGGACCAGAAGGCTTTGTTGATGACAAGCGACAAGAGCGGTCTTATGCAGGAATGTTACTTCCCGCATAGTGTAGGGAACCCTTTGAACCGACGGGACTTGGGCGTTGGGGGGGGGGGGTCCATGGTGGAGTTGTCAGCAAAGATATAGGCAGGCACTTCCGCCTTGGCCTTTGAGTCTGTTACAATCGTTCCATCCTGACAAGTAAGTGTTGGAAGGCTACTATGTGAGAAGTTCCTTCCAATCTGCTTGGCCAGCGTCCAAAAAGGCCGACTGCCATAGCGCTGCGACATTACCCTGTGCCTAACTTTTATATCGTTTTGTTATTAATTTAGATAAATCTGTTCATTTACAAAGCCCTGTACACCAAGCAATGGGTGCCAACTTATTCACCGATGACCACAAAGAAATTTTAGAAAGAAATCTTGTTTTGAAATGTAGTTTGCAAGCTCTGCTAATAGTTTATCCTTGTTGATGTCTGGAATCTTCTCTGCAGCATTATAAATTTGCTCTATAGCCGTGGATTCTGCTTCAGCTTCGCAACCTTTGAAGCGAGAATCCAGTAAGTTAGCAATTTGTGATATATTGCAAACTCTTTTCTAGTTTTCAATATCATTCTTACGTTCATTCCCTCTCTTTTTATATAAACATGTATGTATGGCGTTCCATTTTCCACAATTGTAATTGTATCTGATATGGGCTTCAATAAATCGTAGAACCCAGTAACTTTGTCCCAGAAATTATCGCTCAACATATTCGTTTTACATGCATGCACTTTATTTGTAACATCTGAAAGACTCTCATCAATCGCATTGGTTTTAATAGTTTGTTTGTTCTCTTTCAAACTTTGTAAGCAAGATACCAGGGAACCACAACGGCAACTGGCACAACTGGCAATTTCAAACTTATTTTGGCGCCGGTGGTGGATTGCTTTTCAATAAAAGCTGTATTGAGAGTGCTTTATATCCTTGATACAAGCTGTTGCGTTACCAGAGTCTTTAAAGTTGGCAAATCTTTCATATCTGTAAATATCAGCTGAAGAAGTGAGCTAGGCAACCATAAGTTAATAAGTTTGCCTTTCGATACTTCACGTCAAGGGTTCTCCAAGCTGCCTTCATATACGAGCCACTTCCCACTTCAGTTGGCCCACTTCAAGATGAGATACTTTTAAAACAATTTATTTTCTCAAAAGCATTTTAGATACACTCTAGTCGTAAAAAATACATATTTGAAATCACTTAGACCTATAACTAATAGAACATCTGAACAAATAAACAATGTGCGAATAAATGCGCGAAGTTAAGAAAGCAACAATTGAAAGATTACCATTGGGTAACATCACCTTTATTTTTTATTACGGCTGAAATTCTTTGGGGCATAGTGTTAACCAAGTTTTGGCAAAAATTTGGTGCAAAACAATCCCATATTTCTTGAAGCTTTTGTCTCAGTTCTGTGATTGTACGAGCAGGATGTTGTCGTAGAACCTTTTTGATCTCGTGCCACAAAGTTTCAATAGGTGACGGATCTGGACTGCTAGAAACCCATTTCAAAAGTGGTACATTATTTTCTTCCATACATTTTATAGCCTTTTTTGAGGTATGGCACGCTGCACCATCTTACTGAAACACAAAATATTGTCCGGATGTCAAACATTCTTCCATCACTGGTAAAAGCGATTCTTCTAAAATTGCCAAATATTTGTTTGTATCCACATTTCCATCAATAAAATGAAGTTTTCCTACTCCTTTTGATGACATACTGCCCCAGACCATAATGGATGCTGAAAATTTCACTTTTCTCTTCAGACAGTCAACATGGAATGCTTCATTTTTTTGCGAATAACTCTACTGCGACTGTCACCAACACAAACTTCGAATCGGGCCTCATCACTCCATTGTATTGCACACCATTGTTGAGGTGTCCATTGTCTATGTTCTTTAGCCCATCTAAGTCGATTTTTCACATATCGTGGCTTAATATTAACTGAACCAGTTACGTTATATCTTCTAACAATATATCTCACACTGTACCGCGATACGTCTAACAAAGTTGCAATTTCTGAGTTTGATTTCCCAGAATTAAAAATTTAATTATCAGTAACCGAATTTTCTCACTAGTAACCTTTCCTCTACCCATTTTTTAAAACCTTAACTACCCAAAACTATTTTAAACGTATTCTGACGGCTGTGATTAATAAAAACAATTGTCATGGCTGTTATTTTTCACAGCTACCTATGCGTTATAGACTTATTTTGCATTGAAATGAAAATAGGTTGATATGCTTGTAATTGCAACATGTGTTATTTTTATGCTGCAAATTTGATTAGGGAGTGATCAAGTTGGTGTTTTCTACTATATATTTTCAAAATATTCATTGTTAATATTTTAAACCTATAACACCCTGCTACATTCTCATTATTTGTGTTTAATAAGAAAAAAACTAAGTCTTCAATACTTGGGCCAAATGAAGTGGGAAGGGGCGCGTATTAGCAGCATTGTCTGTTACGAGACCAAATACCTTTTGAGGTCCTGTTTCGGCAATTACAGAACCAATTTCTTGAGTCATGAATTCTGCGGTGTGAGATGATCTTCCTGTCGGTAAAACTTTGTAGAGGTAAGCCGTTGGCGTTGTAATAACAAAATTAACAGGCCCGTTTCTGATGTTGCTCCAGCCATCCACAGCCAGTCCCACAGAATGAGCAGAGGCAATAAATAGCCTCTGCTACTAGAGTAGACACATTTTTGTACCCATTTTCCAAACAATGGTCCCGCTACCACAGAATGGAAAAAACGCCTACTCATAGGAATCCGACAGCCGTCAGGCAACACGAATGACATTTGGCGCCACTTTTTTCCCTGTCCGAATAGGCAAGCCGGATCATCAATGAATGTTGCCAATTAAATGTAATTGCTTATACTGTACAATTAAAATAAATGATATAAATCTCAAGATGAAACCAAACCCATAGTTTAACGAGATTCCCGTTTTTTAATTGCATTTTCGTACTTTTGAACTTTAGAAAACAAAATGTTTTTCATTCTGTTTTTTTTACCGTTTTCTTCTTTCAAATATGTCTAATAGATGCATAGAATCACTAGTCACCAACAAAAGCCAACCTAAACATTGTAGTATAATGGCCAGAATACCTCGAGTTTTCAAGGCACCACAACCACGCAGCCGGTTATAGTCACTTGCCGTGGTACTTCAAGCCCAAAGGATCTACAAGAAGGAAAGGATCATGCGGAGAAAGGTATATAACAAATATAAAAAATAATGGGCAAAATCCACAAAAAGAAGGAAAGTGGATTCGAGCAGAAAATAGGATAGGTAACGGGGGCAATAATCGTTTCTCCTTGTTGGCTTCATCAAACACGAAATGAATGCGCATATGCAATTACAAAAGTAGACATACATGCCCATACATCCAGAAACGGGTGGAACTGAGGAAACGAAGATGGAGAGGGTTAAAAACGACACACAAGTCGCCAACAAGAGGCCAACCTACGCATTGTAGTATAATGGCCAGAATACCTCGAGTTTTCAATGCAACAACAACAATCACAATCACTTGCCGTGGTACTTCAAGACCAAAGAATCTACAAAAAGTAAAGGATTTCAGCTATATTTTGCTAACTTATAATTATCTGATTAACATTTTGCCGTTTTCCTGAAATCGGTAGACTTCTTCAATTAACTATAAATCAGGAATATTTCTGTATATTTCATGTAAACAGTAATTCAATCCTTTAGGTTTTTCTCACTAAACCATAATTGAGATTCTAACCGTATCTCATCCCATCTTGTAGATTCTGATCGGTATCTCCTTTATATTTTTTTAAAAAGCTATCATTCCACCTATAAATGTTTTAATTACTAGACGTCAGACAAAGTAAAAACCGAAAATGACATTTTTGGGACCCAATTTGTTGTTACAATCAATTAAATTGTTTCCATATCTGTAAATATGATGTAATGTTGATATTAAATGCATGCTTTAGCAATATTTCACGATTGTAAGTGATTTATGTAGGTGTACTACAGTATCATAAAAACAAAATCACCAAAATGCATTTTTATCGAAAAATATGTGTTTAACATACCGTATAATATATCAAACTTTGACCTAATCTATAACCTAGATGAGTGACAAAAGTTAAAATTGAAAATTGTATTTGTTAGGTCGAATTACCTGGGAAAATTTAGTCATGCGCGAGTATAACCCAACTTTTAAGAAATATTCTACGACCTGTTTGTTTTTGAAGTAGACATTAGCAATTCAAAGTCCCACATTTGTGATCCCGATATTATATCTGTAATAAAATCTTACACAATTGCCGTTAGATAACATTTTTTGTAAGAAGCTTGAAAAAATTAAACTTTTTCATTTATCTTTGCACACCAGTTTCAGAAAAACTGTAAGCTTTAATGTCGCATTTTAGTGCAACACAGCACCTTGAAACATCCGTTATATAATACGTTGATACGTACATGTTTAGAAGTGTCACAAAAGGGGATCCAAGTATTAGTAGCGAGAGGATACATGTAAAGCATCCCCAATGAATCTAGTATGGCTGGCGTGCCCTTGTCAGAAAATCCTAGCCAACTCATTGTCGATTCTGGGCCCAATGCACAACTTATATCTTTGGAGTCCATGGACATCCCTGTAACAATATTTCACTATTAACGAACGTCGATACATTCGTTTCCTACACATTTTTAACTACTCCAATTCATCAAGTAACATTATTTTTAAACTGTCCAAATAATGAGATAAATACGAGTAATAAGTCTTTGAATTTACTCGTAGTATACAATAATTACAATATTCAAAATTGGTATAGTATGACAATTTTGTGCCCTATAGTCAAGGAGGCTCTATATGAATTGCATCCAATCATTTTTTACCTTAATTTTTTTCCTTACAGGAATGCGGTAATTTACTCGCGATTTCTCGGGTCAATATTGAAAAAATTCAAGACTTTATTTGAATGAGATGCTGTTTGAATTGCGATGAAGATTCCAGAAGTAATTATTATATATTATGTTATTTCAAAAGTTTTAATGCGGACTTCTATTGTCTATTCAATTTTGAGATCACAACGTTTCGATTGATAAGTTATCTTCAATCGCATTGAAACTTCTGAAACATCTACGTTGTCTACAAATTTTAAACAATATATTATCTAACAAGATCATATTGAAGAAAAGGAAATAAAAATAGACAACCTGGGCTCCGACCACATCAGGTTGCTGTTCCGTTATCAACTAGCCACTCGTCACATATTGACGTGTGTGCAAACTAGTTGGTCCGAAAATGTGTTGCTCTTAGTAGAGCGAGGGGAACCGAGGATGAACGCTTTCTGCATTCTTCCAGCTAAGACGATTGCCGATGCTCGGCTTACCGGTATGGATTTTATTGCAGATAGCAGTGTATTCCTCAAACTGATTGAGGAGCTCCTGATACTCTCCTTCGAGACGATGCTCACTTCGGTATATCAAGGTATTTAAGACATCATTTTTGCAGTCAGTCTCAGACTTTAACCCACTAGACCTAAGCTTAGCTTATAAAATAGTTTGTAGTTTAGATTGTAGCACCTCATAGCTCACATGTATGTTTTTGTATAAAATGTGACGAATAAATGATATGGTATGATACTGATTAGATCAAACGGTTTACTAGCTACATATGCTACATAAGTACCTCAGGTATATTAAAACAAGATTTCACAATAAACGCCGTGATCTCCATAAGAATGATGCGGTATCTTTTGAAGTGAATAGTAAAACGGCTTTGCAATATGCTACATAATAAATGATTACATTTATGATGGATAACTTACCTTGAAAACGGAATTGCCTCACATTAATACACTGGTCGCCATTTCTCGGCGGTGCGGAATGATAAGCAATTAATAAGCAATTCTTTGCTGCAGTCATTGTGACAGGTGTCCCAGGTACCGATACTACCGCCCTCTGTGTGCCATAAATAGAACATACGCGCACTATATAGTTATTCATAGCAAAGCACACCAAGTTTTCGGAGCTGGCTATTAAAATAATTTCCTCTGGTTCTTCAACTTTCAGAATCCATTCTTTTGTAACAGCTGCCAGAGGTATCACATAAAGCTGACTAAAATATAAGTGATTGAGAGATCGCTAAATGGTGATAGAAACTGTCCGATCCATCTCACAAGCAAACCTCTTAAAAAGCAATTATATGCTTGTATCCATGCATAATAAGTCGCATCTTCATGAGAGTGTCAAATATGGACGATCTAGTCACGTGGTCGATACGTGGAGAGATATGATTTTTAAGAGTAAAAAACACAAGTCATTATTGACGCTCGGGTCATTTAATGATTATCATTACGGTCACAATCAACAAGAACTATGGATATTTGTGTTTTGGAGAGAAGCAAGCATGGAGGAAACCCTGTTTACTTTCAAAATCAAGCAAAAATACGTTTATCCTTGTATGTCGATATCAATAGCATAATTATTTGCGACTTGGGAATAGATAATTCAAAACTGCTCACTAGGTTTTGACACTCGATTAGCCAGTGCTGCGAGTTGTAGTCGTTATCAATGCTTTATTTGTCAAGTACTCGTAAATGCTTGTGTTGAGATCCTCTGACATATATATTGATCACTTTTAAGCGCTAACAGTCACGTGATTACTTTTGCACTATCACGAAATTGCTTTTGACACAATGCGTGTAACTGTTTTTCCGATTAAATATCCCAACATTGTGAGACGTACAATTTAAGACACGTTGAAAGAAAAGTTGCAAATGAAGTTGAAAACGAAATGGACAGCATACGAATGTGGACATTCTTAATATTGGCTCCTTTCAGACAGTATGAAATGGTGATGTATGAGTTAAACTATGCTTTTGACAATTTTGAGAGCTCGGCTTATGTACTGTATCCAACGGATGCTCACTTCCCTACTAGGTTACTTACCTAGAATTTGCTACAGCAAGAGCTCCTTTACTTATAGAACCCATCGTATAGTCCAAATAATTTCTAATCATCATACTGCTGTGGAATGTCGAATCAATGAATTCGACCTCTATGGATTTTGTATCGCCCTCGTATGCATTATTGCCGTAGCACCTGCAAACACATATTTGTAGTTTCGTAGCAAAGAAATTTTGAGCATTTATTAAATTTAGAGATTCGGGAGAAAAAGCGGGTTTTGTTGAAACAGACAAAAAACAATTTATGGAAGTAGTTGAACGATTTGTCTGACAACAGAAGCTATATT